GTCGCGTAAGTACGGGCGGGTTTTGCCCGCTTGCTTGCTTTTCTTTTCTTTAAAAAATTTATTTATTTGTTTGTTTTTAGCGCCTTCAGCTGCCGCGCGCGGAGGTTAAGCGTCGCAGCGCGCTTGGCTGCCAGCGGGGCCGCCCTGCCGGAGCAAGCGCCGCGCGGGAGCTGCGCTTCCGCGCACGGTAAAGCGCCGCGAGGGGCGGTGAGGGGCGCAGGGGGGAGGCCGGGCCCTTCCTGGGCTCCTCGAGTCTGTGGGTATCGTGTGGCACCGCGCAGACCTGCGCGCCCGCCGCGGGGAAGCGCGCTGTGCCCGCGGTGCGCCGGGTCGCTAAAGGCTGCTTGAACAGAACCAAAAAAGGTCCCTGAAGGCCGTGTTGAACCCCCGCAGCTGGCGAAATCTGCGATGCGATCTGAGGGGCAGTTTTCCCTTCTTTGGGGAAGAACCGCTCTTTACTTCTTTTGGTCTGAATGCCTTTCTCTTCTCCCTCCTAGTGTACCAGGATGGGTCTCTGACCTAGAGGGATTTTTGTTTTCTCCTTTTGTGACCAGCGTAGCTGCAAAATATGTTGGTTCCTCTTTGTAGGACATCTTGTAATTACGCATGAAGGAATTTTAACGGTTGCTAAAAGGGGCGAGATGGTAGGTTGTTACTGAAAACTGTGCTTTCCCACAGGTGTAGCACATCTCGCTGTTGTGTATATAAGCACATGACAGTTTGGAACTTCCCTCTGGTCTTTCGTGCTGGCCACTGATTTTTGCAAGAATTATCTGTCGGAATATCCTAAAGAGCTTTGTGCTGTAGCGCCCGACTATGATGGCGTTTTCTTTCTTTTTTTTTTTTTTTGGATTTTATATATGTCTTTATATAGTCTTTATTCATGCTTCATAACTGTGGAGTGGCATAAGGAGTTGTTTTGGCTCAGAGAGTTCAAAATTTAAGGGCATGCTACTTGAAGTGTGTGTGTGTGTGTTATGTGCACAAGTTTGATGGGAACTTTTTTTTTAAATGCAGTTTCCCTCTCATTTATTCATCAGCACTTGCTTTCTAGAGCAATATAATAACACAGAATTACAATTAACTCGGTCTTCTGTTCATTGCATGTTGCAAAAAAAGTGTAAGAATTGGGTTTTATCTGTGTTCTTGATAGGAGACATTCCCAAAAAGCATCGGCTTGTCTTGCTGATATTGGCACAAAGTTCGGGGGTATGTAATAACATGTTACAAAATTACTTTTGGACAAATATTTTTTTCCATTTATATGATGCAAGCTTCCATTTTAGGCAGGTCAACAAGTCAATTGTGTTACCACACTGTTAACTGACTGAGGGAATGGGGAGCAAGTCAAAAGTTATTCACTAAGGAAAGCAGAAGCACAACCTCTCTTCCGCCCCTCAGACGTAATTTGTATGTAGCAGGTGCCCCAGAGGTTCCCCAGTTTGTGCTGTTTCGGGTAGACAGAGAGTCCTGAAGCCCCCAGAGAAAATGCTGCCGATTTATCCCTTGTGTGTCACCGCTCTAGCTAGTTCTGGGGTACCTGCCCCTGCATCAGACTTTTTGTGGAAGCTACAGGTCACCCTGTGCACTTGTCCTCTCGGTAAGACGTTGTAACAGTCAGTCGTTGATATAATTATCCATTATGTTTGGTTAATTGATAGTAAAATTAAGGTAGGAGAATATGGGGGGGAAGCTATTTCTCAGGGGATATCTGAACAACTCTGCCATCTCAACAGCTATCCACATCCTTTCTGAAACTCTGCACAGCTTGAACCCTTGCAGTGGTTACAGAAACTCTGTGTTAATGGGTCCCATCACTAAACTTGTTTATTGCATTAGCAAGACCTTCCCTTGGTTCATCTGATACACTCAATTTAGCAGTTAAATTAGGTGTCACTTAGTGTTTGCGCTGAAATAAACAGTAATAACTATTTCTCTTCATCTCCTGCCAGTAAGGTTTGTATAGACCTTTTTACCTCTACCACAATGAGAGTCTGTAAAATTTTTTATCTGCTTATGTGGGTCTCTGAACCACAAGTGCCAGGGTTTCAAAAATATTTTAAAAAAGCAAAAAGCATTTTTAAATTAAACCCATTGCTTTATATGCATGAATTAAGCCATTCAGTGATTTAATGTTCATGAGCAAGTGCTCTATGGAAGAGTAAATTTCAGTTTTTGCACTAAAATGCTACACGGAGAGTGGTGAAGCACTGGAACAGGCTGCCCAGGGAAGTGCTGGAGTCCCCATCCCCGGCAGCAGTCAAGAAACGTGTAGATGAGGCACTTAGGGACATGGTTTAGCAGGAAAGATCTTCAAAGATCTTGAAGGTCTTTTCCAACCATGATTCTATGATTCTATAAATATGAGTCCTTGAGGAGCAATTAGGAAAATGAATGCCTTTCTAACTTACACCACGTAGTATTTTGCTCCTTCACCTCGCAATTTATGTGTTGTGTAGTACGACCTGTGAAATTTGCTGTCTGCCACTCGTCAGTATGTTTTTCTTATGTGACAAAGCAACGGTAACTCACACCTTTGAGAGATGATATCAGTGGAAGATGATCTGTTATTGTCGTGCATCTCTTCTCATCCCTCTTCAGGTGAAGATGATGCCGCCTTCCGAAATGACTTTTCAGATTCTGCTTCTGAGTCTGTTCTGTGTTGTGCCTGGAGAAGCAAGTGGTAAGTTGGATTTCCTCTTGTCTGTCTGCAAATGGTTAGAGGTCTGATTTTTGATTCCTAAAGCATTTTGAGAATATAAGCTGGGAAAAAAAGAGGGGGAATACAGGTTGCTGGTCCCATTTGAGGTACCTTAGAGAGCTGAGACATATGCATGGTGCTGGCACATGCAACACAGGACCTGCCTGAGCAGCATTTCAAGGTTGGGGCAGGCAACACCTATCCATACAGCAATACTGGACACCTCTGTCTAAGCAAGTGTGTTGAGCCCTAGGGAATAGTTCACAGCTTCCCATGCTCAATGCTTTCCTCGCGACCCAGTCTCCCTTTCCCTCCCTCTCAAACACATTGCAAACTTTAAAGCTGTATCATCCCAAAATTTTCTTTAGCCAATTTCTCCACGCAGTTCTCTGAGAACAACTTTGAATGTGCCTCCCTTGGGCATTCAAGCTCCCTCTAGCTTTCTAAAATCATCCTCATAGTGCTGAAGATGGGAAGCCATAAATGGATTTAATTAAACTGAAATGAGCCTGCAGGGACTGGTGTGTCTTTTCCTGTTGAAGAGCCTAGTGGAAAAAGGCAGGGCCGCCACCAGTGTAAAACAAGATTGCTCCTTTGTCTTGTGGGAGGATGCAAGAGCAGGACTTTCTGGTGTAAGAAAAGCAAAGAAATAATATGTCATTAATAAATTGCAGTGTCTATTGTAATACAGGTCTTAGAGTTAACTGCAGACTTTTAAATACAAGTGTGATACTAGCTTGTTCCATTTATTCTTTCTGTTGTTGCAGTGGTTACGCAGACTAGCTACCAGAAAGCGAAGATTGGTGACAAGGTGACTCTGAGCTGTGTCCTGAGAGAGCCCAAGGAGGTTCTGCAAGTGACATGGCAAAAGAACTTGGAAAAATTCCCTATGAATATAGCTACGTACAGCAACATAATAGGACTAAAGATTCACGAGAGTTTTCAGAACCGAATAAATTTCACAAGTCTGCTTCTCAATGAGACAAGCATCACTTTCTGGGATGCGAGACTAGATGATACGGGATGTTACACGTGCCTCTTCAATGTTTTTGCCCACGGCTCCCTCTCGGGAAATACCTGCCTGCATGTCTTCGGTGAGGTTCCCTAGTGGAGTATGTCTGTACTGGAAAGTGAGATCTTTTCTCAGCCATAACATTTCCTTCAGTGGACTCAAGAAACTCCAGTGGTAGGAGCTTGCTGCATGGGATGGAGCAAAGAAGTAGGGCTTTATTACTGTGAGCAGGACTCTGTAGGGTTGTTGTTTTGATTCCTGAGCAGTTGTTGTTCATCGTTTTGTGAGTACTAACTAAAAAATAATTCAAGTGGGAGCTCTGTGCAGCTCTTGAGCAGCTGGAACACGCACAGACCAATAATGTTCATTTTGTGTCCAGTGGGTGCCGGGTACAACGCCAGTGCTGGAAGCTACAACGCCAAAGTCTTTCACTGGTGGAGGTTTAGAAAACAAGAGAAGAGCATGGACCAAAAAATGGTTTTACTTGACAAATTATTTTAAAATCTGTCAGTTCAGATTATGCAAAACTTTTACAATATATCACTTCAATGTAAGGTGAGGAGCATTGAGTCATGGGGAAGATGTTGGCCACTGTACTTTCCTTGTGTTCTTGTACTAGGGGCCTGCGTGAGAATTTGGCAAACTCTGCTGTGGTTGTTACTGATTGAATTGCTGTCGCTGCTTCTTGTCAGGTTCTCTCTGTGGTGACGGATTGTCTCATTTGTGTCTTGGAAGGTCTCAATGCATCTGTCCATTATAACATTTCCGATGGGCATTTGACAGCCATCTGTGAGGCTGTTGGCCTCCCAGAGCCTACCATCAGCTGGAACGACTTGTTCAGTTCTACCCCAACACAGAAGGAGGTCAGGCACAGCAATGGGGTCGTGTCCATCACCAGTACACTGGAGATCTATGACGTGCACAGCCTCAGGGAGCAAGAGTTGACCTGCAAAGTAAGCAACAAGAATGAAGAATTGGAATTGCCCCTGAAAATAAAAAAGGGTGAGTGAACGATGCAAGTTACTTGTTAGCGTTCTCCTAGCCTCCATCTTTTGCACTAGTATGTTTGGATCTGCTGTGAAAGACAGGGCATGAGATATGTGCATGCCAGATGAGATGGGAGGAAGCCCTACTCTGCATTCATCCTTGAATTAGCAGTATATTGCCGTGTTCTCCCCAAAGGAAAACACCAAACGAGAGAGCTATGAGTTATGGAGGTGTCACACATTCTGTAGCAAGTTGAAGTTCAGCTTTCAGATAGGCCTTTCACATTTCTTTGACAGTCCAGAGGCATGTATCAAGTGAAAAAGAACTTCAGGCCATCAGGAATGTGATCAGTTTTAGACACCTATACTATTAAGATTTCCCCATAAAATTAAATACATCCATGTCACATCTAAACACCTTGCAGTGCCCATTTATTTTTTCCTCCAAATTCTGCTCCGCTGGAGCAATATTAACCCAGTTCTACAGATAAGAAAGAGAAATATTATAAGCTTAAGTACCAGCATAGAAGTACCAGCAACATTATGTTAAAACCTGATTTAAAATTTAGATGTCTGCAAGTCCAGAGCCTTAAAGACCATTTTTCTGCCTTGTGGAAAGTAGGAAATTAGGTAAAGCAGTTTGAGACTGTGAATGAAGTCCCTTAATAAATGTTAAGTGAAAAGTGATTGTTACAGGAGAAAAAAATCTGACTTTATATTTTCTATCAAAAACTCAAAGCAATTAGTTCTTAATTCTTAGTGATGTTACCTGAAATATCATAAGAAGTCTTTTCTTGTCATATCTTAAATGCAATGTCCTTCTGTTTTATTTTGTTTGAAAATGAAATATGTATCTGAAAGCAGGAAAATGATATTGCTGCTATTCATTAATGTAAAAATGAAAAATCAGTTAACAGCCCAATTTTCAAGCAATCTAGCCTTTCAGAGGAAGAGGAATTCAAATGAAAAGTTGAACATGACTATGCTAAAGGCCATGATGATAGTTTTAGCTTCTTTCAAATAAAATCTCACTGATGTTAGTGAGAAAGCTTACTGAACTAAATTTTAACTGACCTCAAATGTTTGGATTAATGACATCCAGATGAAGAGACTAATGCCTGACCCAAGATCAACTGGAATGTTGTTTAGAGATACCTGCAGGTATCTAAACCATGTGTGTACTTTTTTTTCTGGAAGTTAATTTAGTCTTTGCAACAGTGATGGAAAAGTGAACAAAGAAGTATCTGTTAATTGCAAACAAGAACTTGGCTTCTGGAGGAACACAGAAATTCTTTGGGCAGTGTTAAGACTTGTATAAAATTCTGCTTATGTATGTTTGCCAACTGCCATGTCAGAGATGGGAACTGATAGTTTACTGTGGATGAACTCGGGCACTTTTTCTATTTTTTGACATCATGTTTTCTGGAAAGTGGTAGGCAAATATGGAAATATGCTTTTCTTTGAAGATACACATACTCCCTCTGTCTTTTGAGCCTTGCTGCTTTCATGTAGCTTAGTAACAACTTCTGCAAAATCTCACTTAGGAGGCAGCGCCATTAATCACGCAGTCTCTTGGCTCTTCTTGCTCTTTATCCTATCTAAATCATGCTTGTTTCTTGTTCCTCACAGAGGAGGCATTCTCATTCCTTTGGCTGATCATTTTGGGGATTTTACTTTTATGCGGCCTGACTGTGACTGCGGTGTGCTGGAGGAAGAGGACATGCAAGAGGAGTTGAAGCGGTGAGTTACTTCTTGCATGGAAACTGGCAATTTGCACAGAGCAAAATGGCTTGAGAGAAACGTCAATTCAATGAGATACCATTAAGGGCCATGACACCATCATATTGGACAAGGAAACTTATATTAATGTGGCTAAAATGATTAGAGGTTGCCTCAATACGATGTAATTTTGGGGGCTCTTTTCCTGTTCCTCTCCTGACTGCAGATTAGCAGGGGAGATTACAAGCAGAGCAAGACATATTGCCTGTATTTCCCTTTCAGGTGGAAGTCTTAGCAGACATAGGTAATTCAGTAGCTGTTCAGCAGCCATTCTTGTGTTCACAGAGGGACATAGCCTTTATTCAGTCTAAGTCTGCTTAGAAGAGTTTTTGGCAGAACTGGTACACTGGAGAGAAGCTGTGGGTGAAGTGTGCTGTGCCCTTGAGAAAAGGGCTCTCTTCTGGTCGTGGCACCCTCATGTATTTTAAGATAGAACTATAAAATATGATATAAGGATTCATATGTGAATAGATACAAGGATGTCATGTGAATAGATCAAAATGGTGAGTCTGGCTTTAAATCTTATTACAGTGTTGAGAAGTAGTTTCTGAAGTTCCTGAATAGATAGTTATTTCATACTGATAATGTGACTTCATGCAAAAAGGAATTTCCAGAAATGTCAGACTACAGAAGTCTAGACACACGGTACTTACTGTTAAGAGGGAGTCATCTAATAGATCTACCATTGCTGGAGATACAAAATGCCTCACTGAGGGGATGAGGAAAAAGAAGCGAACGCTTTTTAGCTCCCAAATAAAACTTTGCAATTGTGAAAAGCATTAAGCAATGCTGTAAGCAATCCTGTAAGCAATTCAGAAGAGGAAAAAAATGGTACAGGTCTTTAAATCACTGCTTAAAAACAAACTGCTTTTAATGTTTGGAATTTCAGAGCAACACAGAAGTTAAGACAGATTAAAAAAATAGTGTCTAAAATTGATACATAAAGTTTGGAAAAGGCCAGTGCAGCGTGTCTGGAAGAGAAAGTACAAATGCACCAGTCCATGAGTTAGTTGTAAGACTAGTATCTTGTACTAGAGGAGACCTGTGGTCAAGTGCTGAGCAGTGGGCATGAAATCACTCTGAGCTCCTTGGCTCAAGGAGCAAATATCAAGTCTAGACCTCAGGTTTGTAGTTGGCTGCATGCCAGGGGATGTGTCAGCAGGGATAATGTCTGGGTGCCGCTTAGAAACTTCAGTTTAATACGGCTGGATCCTCACCCTGAGCTCTGAAGGGTCTAGGAGTCAGCTTAGCCAGGAAAGATCTGCCAGATCTTAGAAATAAGTGTGTTTCAGTTGCCAAACCTAGATTCAAGAATTACACAATATTTTGGGCATTACCGTTTTCTATTTGCAAAATCAAAACCAAAAAGCTTAATTTTGTTTCATGTCAAATGTTCCTTTTTGAAAAGCAATCTGTTTGAGCGCGCTTGCGAGGAAGGCATAGGAAGTGGCCAAGCATGATGTATTTGCACGCAGGGGGCTGTGCCCCTTCTTTCTTACCTAACTGTGCAGAGGTTGGAGTGTTCCCAGGGGATAGGAGCTGCCAGACCCTGCTGCCTGAATTGCATCTGCCTCCCCAGCCCTACGCATATCCTGGCGCATCGCAGCCCCAGAATTTCGTTTGTCGGCGTTTCTTCCTACTTACAGTGGGTTTTGAGTAACTGATGCTAGCTGTGGCTTCTACAAGAGCCTTTGAAGTCTTTTTTGCCTCCTTTTTTTTTTCTTTTTTTAATCTAGTCCAGTTCGCGCCAATCTCGTTTTTCAGTTACTTTTCAGTGTTTACTTCTGAAAAGGCCGTGCGCTGACTCTGATCCTTTTTGCAAAGTAATTTTGAGTGGCTGGTCCTCCTCCTTTATAAGGTGGCCAACATGTAAACAAGGTGAACATGTGTAGGCCATCTTCCTGATGTAATCCATCTTTCTAACGCTCGTCCTTTTCCTGAAGGCCTCATTAATTAGCCTGTTGTGAAACTCTCTGAAAATGACGCAGTGTGATTACTCTGCCACTATCTGATATTTTCTGGTAGTTCTGTTTTATCCATTGTTAAAAGTTACTTTTCATCTTGCACATGATTCCGCTCTAACTTTCCTGGCCAAATCCTTAGTGTGCCAAGGATAGCTGGGGAGTTACGGTACTTTTAACTCTCAGTTTAGAATGTATTAGCCCTCTAGAGCTAGCACATATTAATGAGGAAATCCCCTCACCTCCCTCTCTCCCCTCTAAACAATGCTTGTTAGACCCAGGTCTGGTTTTGCGGTGTCCTGTTTTTCAACTGATCCCCTTTGAAATTGAAATCTGTGCTCTTTGAAATATTATTTACAGCAGAGGAAATCAAAAGAGCATGCCATTTAGTGGAAGCCTTCTTTGTGTTTACTCTGCAGTATCCTCATATATTCTGCTGGAGCAAGGAACAATGCCTACATGCATATTTCTGGACACAGGTCTTAAAACAGCACAAAAGAGAGCTAACAGCAGAGCCTTGGAGGTGGCAGTTGCTTTCTGAGGTCACTTTCTGAGATTTCAGTGCTTCTTTTCATTCTGTACTAGATTGAAAATGAAGCCCTTCCAGTTTTGTCCAGATGCCTGCTTTTTTAGGCTGAAACAGTGGCTTTTTATCAGGGTGTCTGGGGACACTGCTCTGTCACAGTTTCTGTTGTACTGCTTCTGCTGCTCAGAATAGGGTGAGTTTCTTTGTTTTTTGTCTGCTGTTCCTTCACCCTCCCCATGGCAGACACTTGGGAGTCAGGAGACACACAGAGTGCAAAATTGTTGTCCCACGCCTAAGGAGTTTGCCTTAGGTCCCAGATGGCAGAGCGTGCTTCACTTTTAAGATGGTTTTGGAGAAAAGCAAACTGGGTGCATCTTCACAAAACCTGCCAAGTTGTCTAAGCGTCGTTTATGTGGTAACACACTGGGCAGTCTTTGTGGCAAGAGACGGCAATGAAAGTATGCAAAAGCTTAAATCCTCATCCTTCCTCTGGTACAGAGGCAAACCTAGCTGTGCCTGTCACTGGAATAAGTGTGATGAGCTGCTAGCAATTGGCTGCTTGCAGGTGCAACTTCCACTGGGACAGAAGGTTTTTCAGTGCTACTCTTTTTCCAAAAAAACAAAAAACAAAAAAGTTACACTTTTGCCAAAGTGGTTCAAGACAGGTATCTGAATCTAGAGACAGTCTAAATCAATTCCTGTGGTTCTGCTGTTGTGCACACAGGCAACCTGGACACTCTCAATGGCAGCAGTTGTTCATTTAAGACCTGTTGGAAAGCTGGGATTTTGGTCCAGCCAGCTGAGATGCTTTAGCCTCAGAGTGGAGGACCTGGCAGGCTCTGGAGGGATGAAATGCCACACAAAGAGTTTTATGGAGGCTTGTCGTGTTCTGTGGGAAAAGCTTATTTCCAAATGGCTACATATACCAGTGTTTTTTTAGTGTAATAAGAAGGAAAATCTGATCTTTCTTGGGCATTTTGCCATGTGCGAGGTTTGGAAAAGAGGGCAGATTCCAGTTGCCCAGGAACCCTTACAGGAATGAGGACTTGTACAAGCTCTCCATTGCTTTTGTTTTGTTTTCACTACACATGGCTGTTTCCAGCTATTTCTGGAAATGACTTTTTACTGCTGTTCTCTAGTGCTTACGCAGTTTAAGAGAAGCTGAGCTGAGATCGACTATAAACCCTGGCTAAAAACTGAAACTCCATCCTATATTGTGTGTGTGACTGTCCTTATCCCTTCTGTGGATGTATTTTGGCACGCAGCTGTGCAGCTCCATGTTTTCCTAGGCTTCAACGTTATGAAAAGCACAGGAACAACTTCGGGTTAAGAGACTGGTCGGTGAGCAGCCCGTTGGTACCGCTTGGGCTCTGGGGCCCGTCCTGTCCGGGTGGGCAGCGGGCTCGTCGTCCCAGCGCTGCTGTGGCCCTGCTTAGCCCAAGGAGGCTCTTCAAGGAGGTCGTGGGGACTTCGGAGGTTTTCTGCATTCCCGGCAGAAATGCAGCCCTGAAAAATTTCCCCTGAAAAATTACTTTAATTCTTAGTCCTATTAACTAAGAAGGACTTAAAAAAAAAAGCCCTATGGAAAAAAAAGATGGTTTCCAGGGTGACAAACTGGAGGGGACTGAAAACAATCAAGAATAAACTTTTAAATATTAATTATTCCAGTATGTTCAAAAATATCCCTAGTCATGGTTTTTCAAAACCAGGAAAATTTGTTTGCTTTTCATGATTTGGAAATCCATTTAGGTTTTTGCGTATTCCCAGTCTCAGTGTCATGTTCTGAATTCTGCAGTGTGTGGCTGTTGCAGCTAAAATGCGGTTTTACCTAGTAGCAGGTACCTGAACGTTTGTTTATTTCCCTTTTACGGTGAGTCATTCCTGTTACACAGAGCAAGATCCTATATTAATCCTGAAGATTGCTCATGCTCTACTCCTTGTCTTTTCTTTGTGATTTGCCATTTAAATGTGCAGTGAGGCTTTGTACTGTTAACTTTGTACAGTTGGAAAGGGCTGTTGCAGTTGTCCAGTTGCCTTCAAGGTACCACAGTAGATTTTATGAGGATGCAGGAGAATGAATCTCAAACCACCCTCCTTTTGAAGCAGGCAGCGCTGCCGTTTGGGGCAGCAAGGGCCGTGTCGTGCCCTGCGTGCTGCTCCAGCCGTCTGAAGGCAGGATTGGCTTTTAGGCTGGATGTTGGAAATTTTCACACTCTGCGTTTCGTGGTAGGACGTGCGTGCTTCATTTAGATGTACCTGTGTCTCCTGGAATTTACTGAGGAGAGCTGGTTGCCGTTTCAAGCGATAAAGCGAATAACGAGCTGTTATTCCGAGTGCAAGTGGAAGCGCTACCCTGCAGGCCTGGAGAGAGCCAAGCACGTGGCCAGGCGAAATTGCGTCTCTTCAGTTCGCTGACTGTAGCACTATAAACAAAGCTGTTTACGGAGTACGGATTTGACAAAGTTCCCTT